AGCCATCTCCCCGGCCCCAGACATGAATTTTTCATTTCCCAAAATAAGGGTTAATCCATTTACCAAGTCTTTCCAGGGATATGCATTTTGTTGATTTGCTTATATGTTTAGGTTCTTCAAAGACCAGCCTAACAAAAGGACAGCTAGCATTACATTAGCATTGTCTAGCATTACACAAATTAGATAAATTATAATGGACAAGTTCTCTTTTTAAATACATAAACAGATTCAATGCCTTCAAATTCTAGCAAATAGATTCAAATTATAATAGAAAAAATTATCTCTTTTTAAGGGGCTGAATGTTGCAGATAACTTCCACCCAAGATACTTGATTTCACTTTTTTCCTCATGCATACAAACATCAATTTGTGATTCACCTTTTCACACATTTCATCTGCAGAGCCTGACACAAACAGTACAGGACCTTTTAGACGAAAGAGGTCTTCATCTCTGAGCTTATGCTGCTGCTTTGGGTGGTGCAGTGGGTAAGAAATACAAATGAGACCCCGAACAAAATCATCAGCTTCATCTGGCTCCACATGACACATGACAGAAGCGGCTGCTCTGGAGCCCATTGAACGACCTAAAATCAATTAAGATTGTTTGAAATATAAACACGTATACAAAGTACCAGTAAGAATGTGGCAAAGTTAAGATTTTACTCTTTTAACATCTTTGTTAACTTAAAACATTCTGTAACTTCAAACAATGACAGTAAGTCTACAATATCTACATTGGAAACCTACAGTTTTATGAAAAGCAAAACACTGTTCAAGCTTAGTCTTTGAAGAAAACGTAAGAGTGAAGACATTCCTTGTGAAGAAATCACAAGACAATAATTCAATGATACAAATAAAAGGAGACAGGCTGGGCATGGTGGCATACACCTATAATCTCAGCACTTGGGAGGCTAAGGCAGGAGGATCCTTGCAAGTCTGAGACCAGCCTGGACTACAAACTGAGTTCATGCCAGCCTGAGCTGTATAGCAAGACCCTGTCTCAAAAAGACAAAAAAGGGCTTGGGAAACAGCTCAGCATCATAAGCACCTGCCTGGCAGGTAAGCACGCGCTCCCAAGTTGGATCTCCAATACTGCAAAAAAAAAAAAAGACAATAAAATAAAAGGAGACATCTTCAAGTCACGATATACTAAGTTTAAATTTGCCTTAAATATGTAAAGTACTTTAATATCAAGGTGGTCATTTGCTAAAACATAAAATAATTCTATATTAACTCCCTGTTATCAACCTTAATATTAAAATGAATCAGTAACAATTTGTAAGCTTTGTAACTTACCTCCCAGGAAAACACCTGCAAGTTTGTATTCTCCTGAGGTCTTCAGATAATTCTAGATAAAAATAACCAAAAGATTATGAATTTTTTCCTATGTAATATTCCCCCAAACAGCAAAAATATTATTTATTATTCCTTTCATGTATGAAAACCTATACAAAAACCCAAAAATCAGGGCTGGGGAGATAGCTCAGTAGGATAAGCACTTGCTTGGCAAGTGCAAGGTCCTAAGTTCAACCGCCAGTACCACCAAAAATAAATAAATAAATAAACCTAAATTGCAAAAACCCAAAAATCTTTGAAGATTATTCCTGAAAAATTCTTCTTACCTCTTCTGCTCATCTTTTCACTATTAATTTACATTTTGGATAACACAAGTGTGTGAGAAAAAATGAATTTCTTTCATAAAAATATTTAAGCAATGAAGTATTTTTACACAAAATTATTTTAAAAGGCCAGAGAGGCTTCCAATTAATATCAAAATTAATAATACTAACATATAATTTAAAGCTCTGGAAAATTTAGCAAGCTTAAAATAATTTAGATTAAAAGACATTTTAGGGCCGGGGAGATAGCTCAGTAGAATAAGCGCTTGCCTGACAAGTGCAAGGGCCTGAGTTCAATCCCTGGTTCAGAAAAAAAAAAAAAAAAGCCACAAGAAAAAGACATTTTAGATTTAAGCTCCATGATTTTAAGCAATGTTTCTAAGTTATATATATATATATATATATATATATCTCACTGTCCTATTTGCACATGCACAATGTGGTAAAGTTTTCCAAATGTCAGAACTATATTTTTAAGTTATACAATTCCAGTGAGAAAATCATAAGTACCTTCCTGGGCATGGAGGAACGTTTATGATGTAAGCATTCATCTCCATGGACACCAACTGATGGCAAAAGAGAGAGAAATCTGACCACATAACAGCCTTCGAGTACTGTTGGAAACTTTGAAGGATCTCATTAGAAGATTTTTCAGTACAATGACTACTAACAAAATCTGCCTTAAATTTATTAAGAATTTAAAACTGAGTCTTAGAGTAACAATAAATTTTCTTACCAAAACTGCTTTATATGCCTTAATTCTATGTACAATATTAAGGCCTTTGCAGGTAAATCTCAGGCAAAAAAACCCATGAGAGGCAAGATGCGATGCTAGGGACATCAGGTGAGGAAGATTCATATCTCCTGATGCTCCATGTGTAAGGATTATTCCATATGTTAAGCTCTTGTTAGGTACCAAGCAAACGGCATCCAGTAATTTATTTCCAAAAGGTATTTTTAATTTAACCTAAAATTCAAGAGAAGAAAAAGATTAAAATAAAATTACTCCTTTGACTGTTCAGACAACTAAAGGGCTACACCCATTTGTTCTGTGAAAGTCAGGTCACAGTCTCCAAATAAAAATGCTAACAGTTAACATGCAGCGCTTACTACGGGTCACATACTGTGTTTCATATGTGTCAACACATTTAAATCCTCTTCATAATCTATGAGGCAAGCAGTACTATTCTATGCATTTTATACATAAGGCACAGTGAGTTAAGTACTTGCCCAAGGCTATATAACTACTCGCTGGGGTTCAAACTCAGGCATTCTCCTCAAGAATCCTGCCTTTTAATGACTCATAAGCTGCCTCTCGGGGCAGGATGAAAATAAGAAAAGTATCCTGAAACTACATGATTACCAAAAAAGTAAATAAATAAATGAAAACTGGTGATACAGAACATATGCAAATATTACCTCTGTATGACTCATTTTCACTGTTGAATAATAAACGGAAAGTGCATTACATCTCAGAAGCAAAGGCCATCTCCCTGAAAAGAAGATTCTGTGGTGAAAGGCGAGTTGTTAGGCACAGGCACGACGCCAGAACTATGCGCACATTCAGTAGCTGAAACACACCTATTCAGAACTACTACTCTAAAAACCTGTGTCCTTGCATGTATTTCATTACATCACATTTTACTTATAGGGTTATATGGGCACTCAAAATCATCTGCAGACATGTGTGGGGCCAGCAGATACCATATAAGATAATTGTAATTCACTCAATGTAGGGTGCTACTATCTTGGCAAAAATAAACACATTTTTGTAAGCACCTTGACTCTCATCTTCAACCTCACTTTTCTACATCTGCTAACTTATTACCACATTCATCACCCTGCTTTCCCGAAACAGTGTGCACCCTTTGACATGTGACCTTGCAGTGCCTCCCTGTAGGTGGAACACACATCTCATCCTATTGACTTTGGGGCTGGCTCCGTACGTGGTGCTGGGATCAAACTGCAGTCCCTGTGCTTGTCAAGGCAGGTGCTTTCGTCTCTTGAGCTATGTGGCCGGCTCTGAGATGTGTTTTAACCAAGGCAGCACAGGCAGAGATGTCACGTGCCACTTCTGAGCTGAGACACAGCAGGTTCTTAGAAGCTTCCTAGCCCTTCCACTGGGAGACACCAAGGTAGTTCTGCATTTTCAGCCTGTGGCCTGGAACAAAGGCACGTGGAACAGGCCGGAAAGGCAAACCGTGAAGCCAGTCTGGCCCATTCAGGATCTAAACCACAGCACACCTGCAGAATTATGAGCATGAATGAAAGCCACGGAAATTCTGAGATTGTTACACAACATTCCTTTGTACTCTGAGAGAACTTTCATTTTTCAGGATATCATCAACATGAGAATCTCTAAAAATGACCCATTTGCCTCCATTAACATTCACTGAGTAGGTAAAAATAATACAGTTCAAAATTCAGAAGACCTCAAGGACAGTGAAAATGTCTTTCCCATTGTACTTCTACCTGGCACCCAATTTCCTGGCTGAAAAAGTCCCCACTTCCTATGTCTCTTTCCAGAGTGTACTGTAGTTTTATGCAGGTTCTTGCACAGGGCACAGAATTTTAAAAGAAAAAGGAAACACTCTTTGTCCTCTCTGACCACACAGTTCTTCTCCACTCCTAGGTGCAATCAGTGTAACCAATGTTTCAGCCTGGGAGGACTAATCTGGCTCAAAAGCTCTGGAAGTGAAATGGAAGGGGATGAAGGAATTTAGCCTCCAGTGTCCTTGTTTTCATAAAGGGCCCTCTATGAATCTGCCTTGGGCTCCGCAGTTCAAAAACCCACTATGTTGTTAAGATAGAAAGCCTCCATGTAAATCATCTAACAACTGGAAAGGCACTGAAGAAGGTGAAATGGGGACAGGATCTACATATTTAACTGCTTTTTTTTTTTTTTGCATAACCGGGGATTGAACTCAGGCCCTTGCGCTTGCATTTAATTGCTTCTTTAAAATATTTCACTTCCTTTTTATTAAAGCTTTCCATCCCCCCCCCACTACCTTCTTCATTTCCAGCTCCAAAGGTGAGGGTGCTGACAGTTTTCTATGCAATTTCAAGATGCTGTGATTTACATGGAATTGTTTTATAGTATTCCCTACTGCTGGGTAAGGATTATGTTAAGGTTTGTTAAGTCATAGCTGCGCTCTAGAGCCCATTACTTGATAACTTCTCTATGTGCGTTTATGTCTAAGAAAAACAACCCATATCTACAATTTTACTTTGGGATTTCAAGAGGGAGCAAAACTAGAGCGTGTTTCCAATCACTATCTTAACTTGCATTCATTCTGTAACATCGGGTTTGGTGTTGTTTCAAGAAAACTCTCCTCTCCTCCACACTTCCTGATGAACAGCTTGTTCAGCACAACTCGTGCACACGGCCTTGACTACTTCATGAACACTGCCATTGTCCCACAGCGCAATCTCAAGGAAACCTGCTCCTGTGTTTTAATCTCTGCCTTCGGGTTTTGATAAGGGAGGTTCTGAAGACTGGCTCAGCCTTGATGTCTTTCCCTGGAGACAGAGAAAACACCACCAAATTTCTACCGACACTGTGGCCATGCACTGATCTTGTGTGGCCCGAACGCAATGTCGCGTGCACTACCCATGTCGTGAGCATCAACAGCTGATGTCCCGCACTGCTTCTCGCGTGCAGAATCCCTCACCACCTCTTGCTTTAAGGGATCCAAAGGCCATAGAAACTCGACTTCTGGTTGAAAGACGTCTGTGTGCTATCTGTTATGGCGACAGCTGTCATGGGGCAAGCGCGCACGTTAGCAGGAGTTCGGGTCTTCCGGGGGTCCGGCCAGCACCACCCACCAGCAATGGCCAACAGGAAGAGAAGGCACTGTTCAGGCGCGGGTCTGCAGGACTGCGGGGTCCAAGGCACGCGGGGATCGCGACTGCTCAGAAGCGCGCGCGAGTGCCGCGAGCACCGGGCGCCGAGCAGCGGGCAGCCGCCGGGCTGGCCCTGCCCGCCGCCTGCGCGCCCTCCAGCGCGGGACCCGCCCACCCCCGGCTCCGGAGCCCTCCTCACGGAAGTCAAAGCCCTAGCGGCGGCGCCCACCGTGACCGCCAAAGCCACGGCCACCGCCACACTTACCGGGAACACAACGCCAGTACCGGATCGCGCTCTCTTCAGGGAGCGAACTCGCACGCTCGCAGCGACCGCGTCACCTCCCCCGGCCCGTCAGCGCGGTCCGTCAGCGCGCATGCGCGCACAGGCCACGCCCCCAGAGGCTCATGGACGCCGCAGGGCACGCCGGGAACGGGAGTCCTCAGCCCGCCTGGCGGGAGCCGCTTCCCGCGCGGGCCGCTGACGTCAGTCCACAGCGAGCGCCGAGGGCGAGCGCGGGGAAGACCTCTCCGCGGCACTGTGTAGCGCTTTGGTCTGCTTGTCCCCTGCCACCCCAGACGCTGTCCTGAAGTCCTCGGGTGGAAAGCCTGGTGTCAGCCCTGAGCAGTCTCGTCTCTCACCCCGCAGTCGCAGGTGTTCGTAGGGTCGCGCCTCCTCCGACCGTGTCCCCTCGTGGGCCAAGCCTCGCCCCCCAGGGTCGTTGTCTGGGTATTGAAGCGGCCGCGAGGCCTGCAGTCCCGCCGAGGCAGGAGGGCCGCGCGAGTGCGCTGCCAGCCTGGGCTGCACAGAGGCACCCAGTCTCCAAACAAACAAGAAGCGGCCCCCGGATGCCGGCCACCCTCGTCCCTGTGTCGTCCACACACCCGCCGAGTGGACGCTGTGGCAATGTGGGCCTTCCACTCCAAACCCTCCGAAGATTCCCGATCCACCCACTGTCGAAGCTAAAAGCCTCGCCATCAAGAGTGTTCTGACTCCAGCTGTAGGAAGCCCGGACTCTCTGCCACTAGGAACGTCGCCCTGGCTTTTCCTGCTCAGCAGAGATCTTGATGGGCAGCCCTCGCTTCCCTGCCTTCTCTCAGTGCCATGTTTTCCCCAGAGAGCCCATCTCTGATTGCCTCCCCACGCGTCCTAACATACTAAGATTTGTCCCCTCAGTAAGATGTAAAGTTCCTTATGAAAACGTGTGTTTGTTTGCTTGACCCTGAATCTCCTGTGTGTGGCACAGTTCTGTTCCAGCAGAGACGAAATTCTCAACAACCACAATTTAAGGAAGGAGAAGCTTACTTTGGCTCACAGTGTGTCGAGGTTTCTTTCCATAGTTAGCTGGTTGAAAGGCCGGGTGGCATAGTAGAGGGCGTGGTAGAGGTGAAATAGTTCAGGGCATGGATAGTAAGAAAAAGTGGGAAAGAAAGACAAGGAGACGGACACGAGAGAAGTGAGGAAGAGATAGTCTTCTAGGCCACCAGTGATCCCTTCCTCCAACCAGGCTCCTTCCCCTAACATTACTTTTAGCTGTAATCTATCGGTGGGCTAATCCACTCTGATGAGAGTCCCACCTATGATCCAGTCACCTCCTAGAAGGCCTACCTAAGAGTACATAAGCTTTTGGAGGGAGATCTAGCTACAGCACCAGCCATAACAGGCAAAGTGTTATAGGTTATGTCTCCATGCTCCTCAAAACCCCATGTTTCATAGGTGGGGCTTTTGGAGGTGGCTGGATCTAGGGTGTGTGAATATGGATTAAGGATGTGTGATCCCTAGTCCACTGTTAGGTTTTGCGTAGTTCTTTGTGTGGTGTTATGGTTTGTGTCTAGGTGTCCCTCCAAAGCCTCATGCAGTCTTGGGGCAGCTTCTGGAGTTTGTGATTGATTATTTGTTGGTGTGGATGCTGACCTGTCCTGGGGCAGATAATTTGCATTACAGTGTAAGGAGGGAAGAGAAACTAGCTGATTGAGCTGTTGCTACTCCTCTTGAGCTCTCTCTTGCTCTTTGCGGCTGCCATGAAAGGTTGCCCTCTGCATGTGCCACTCTGCCTTGGAGCCAGTTGAGTATGGACTGAAACCTCCAGTAACTGTGAACTAAATAAACCTTTCCTTTCTTCATTTTGAATGTCAGGTATTTGTCCCAGCAACAAGAGAAGAGTATCTAAGACATGTGGAAAATGGGAAGACCCACCATAGGTGTAGGTGCCACCAACCAACAAACTTGTGGCTTGGATCAAACTAAACCTGAAAGCATAAGGACAGTTTGCTGCTTTCTCCCTGCCCTGCCATCACCTGTGTGGTACCCTTCTGCCACTCTGCCCTGCCTTGAAGCCAGCTGATTACAGACTTCAGCCTCTGAAAACTGTGAGCCGAAATAATCCTTTTCTCCTTGCACTTGTGGTGTCAGGTATTTTGTCTCAGCAATGAGAAAAGTAGCTCTGACACTGACCCTAACCACCAGAAGACTCATGTGCATCTCTTTATGCAAAATGCGATGGTCCATCTCTGAGTTGCCGAAGTCCAAACAATCTGAGCAATGCTGAGAAGGCAAAGTCCAAAGTCCCTGAGATTTAAGGCAAATTCTTAGGCGTGGTACTAAAGTATCTGCATCAGTTAAGTTTCACTAGAGGAACAGAATATGAAGTTGACTTACCATGGCCACCTACAGAAACACAAGTGAAAGATTGCAAAAGGACCATCTACAGCCAGGGAGAAAGCTCAGTGGCATAAGTGTCTGCTTGGCAAGCACAAGGTTCTGACTTTTATCCCTGGTACAAAAATAAATAAATAAAAGGACCATCTGCATGCTGAAGTCAGAGGATTCAGTCAAAGATGAAGTGATGGAGCTCATGCGAAGTCTTATGTGAGTTCATATTGGGAAGATAAAGGGTCTGCGTTAGAAGGCTGGAGTCTGTGTGGAAAGTCTGGAGACCAACATTTAAAGGCAAAAGTGAAGACGAGCTCCTCCAAAGAAGCAAAAGAAGACTTTTGTGAGGAGCAGCTGAAGCTGGAAATTGGTCACATGGTAGGGTAGAGGCAAGGCAGGTCCAAGAACAAAGCATACCGGAGGCAATACCAGACTGCTGTTCAGACAACAGAAGACCAAGCCTTGAGATAATCTAAGCAGTTGGTTGCTAGGCAAACTATTGCGTGACAACAACTTTGTCAAATGTATGGATAAACATCCCTAAGGTGGTTGAGTAATTTCTTTCCTCTGATCAGGAGAGAGAGGGCTCCTCTCTCAGGACCTCAACTTTGGTCTTTTATCTTTATTTTCCATACTCTTGCTGTCCTTTCCCCCCTCCCCATCTCTTGGAGCTTCAAGAACCACGGACTTGTTTTCTTTTCTCCAGGGAAGGACTTCCTGAAAGGATGACTTTCCCCTAGCCCAGTACTCTTTTCCTGTCAAAGTACATAGGAGATAAATTCTCCTAGTAATTATGTATTGTGATAAAAAGGTATGATGCGGTGCTAGTGACTTTAGATTTTTCATTATTAAGTGAGATATTTACTTAATTCTAAAAAGCACATAACTCATTGTGATTTATCATAAATGTTTTACCAAATTAGTCTTTTTTTTTTCAAATTATAGTCTTAATATTTAATGTCTGCTAATCTAGCTGTATTTGTTTTAAATAACCTTATATGCCCAAAATATAATTTCTTCAAGCATATAATTCAATAAATTTCAGTACTTTTACAACCATTTGCAATCATCACCATAATCTAAGAATATTTCCTTTTTTCTTTCTTTCTTTTTTCTTTTTTTTTTTCTTTTCTTTTTTTTTTTTTTTTTTTTTTCAAAACTGGGGATTGAACTCAGACCCTTCCGATTGCCAGGGTAGCACTTATTCTACTGAGCCATCTTCCTGGCCCCAGAATCTTTCCTTTATCCCCCCAAAATAACTAGTCACTTCCTATTCCTACCTGAGTAGACCACACAACTTCTAACATACTTTCTGTCTGTATAGATTTAACTCTTCTGGACATTCCAAATAAATGCACCCATACAATATGAAATCTTTTTTAGTATCTGGATTCTTGCACTTAGAATGCTTTCAAGATTTATGAGTGTTGTAGCATACAACAGTACATTGTTCTTTCTTACAACTTATTTTTTAAAATTATTGACACTTTTAACAGTTTTAATAGACAGTTGTTGTATTCCAACTTTGGTCTATTATAAGTAACAGCATTCAGAAATACAGAGGTGTGACAACAGAAACAGAGATCTGAGATACTGGCTCTGAAGGTGGAGGAAGGGATCCCCAACCAAGGTATGTAAGGAATGTAGCTTTAGGAAGCTTCCTTTAAAAAGGAAGCCAAAGAGCTCCAGAAGGAATCAGCCCTGCCAACATTAGCCTGAGGAAACTGATTTCAAACTTTGACCTCCGGAATTCTAGCAGAGTACACTTCAGGAGTACACTTTAAAGTGTTGCTTTAGGCTACTGAGTTTGTGGTAGCTTTTTTTTTTTTTTTTTCTTTTTAACAAGGGCAAAAGGGAAGTAACATAAAAGTTTTATTTACAGGCCACCATTTCAATTTCATGTCAGTTTCACATAGGTAAAATATTGCTCTTGATTTTTTAACTGCTTAGAAATATAAAAATCACTCTTAGCTTGCAGGTTATCCAAAGATGCGGGGGGGAGGTAGCCTATGGGTTGTAGTTTGAAATCAAATATCACAATTAATTCAGACAGATATTAAAGTAGCAATATATAATGATCATGAAGTTTTATGTTTCAAAATTAGAATGCTAAGAAGGCACTCTACTATGGATTAATGTAGTCAGAACAGCAAACTAAAACATGAGTATTTTAATAGATATCTAAAATCATTCAAAAAATTTAATGTCCTTACTACTGATAAGCTTTAAAAAATTAATATTAGAATTTTAATAATGTAACAGACTTATACTTAAAGTAAATTTCTCAATAATAAAAAATCTAAAGTCACTACCACCCACCCCATCACACCTTGTTTTTATCACAATACATAATTATTTTGTTGCTTTGTTATTTGTTTTCACTCTTGATTCCAAAAGAAATAGCAACTATTCACCGTTATATCTGTATATTTCAGTTTAGCTAACATTAGGTGCTCAATAAATATCTCTTCAAGGGTGTTTTTTTCCTTTTCTTTTTGAGACAGGGTCTTGCTATGTAGTTCAAGCTGGCCTTGAACTTACGCTGTAGTCCACACTGGCCTCAAACTTGTAGCAATTCTGCCCCAGCTTGCAGAATGCTGCTGTTATAGGTATGTGCCACTGCTCCCAGCATGAGTTCTTATTTGGGATGATTAATTTCATTTGAATTTGCTTAGGCCATGGTGC